CTATTCATGATATCGTTCCTAATTGTGTACTAAACCTTCCAAAACAATTCAAAATTTGCAGGTTCTTCCTGATTTTTCTAGTTTTAACAATCCAACTTCTTATACAAGTGCTTCTTCAATTCTCTTCAATTCTATCAAAAATTATTTCTAATTCATATAGAAATTTCACAAACTAACAGGGTAGATGGTCATACTGTGCAAGGAGAACACCAATCAAATTGTTTCCACCTCTTTTGGGTGGATTTTGTATGATTTTCTTCTTTTTTAGATTATTCATGATGACTTTCCTAAATATGTATTAATCCTTCCAAAACAATTCAAATTTTGCATGTTATTTTGAATAAATTATATTTACAGTTAAAAGATGATACTATAGCACATAAACATGGATTGGTGTGATATGTATCAATGTAATAAGCCAACTTTATGTGTTCAAATCATTCAAAGCTTCTAGATATGGTTTTTGTAGGAATTTATACTTTTTCAAACTATTCATGATTGTCTTCCTAAATATGTACTAAATCTTCCAAAAAAAATTTGATTTTTTTTTAGGTTCTTCTCGATTCATCTAGCTGTAAGAAGAAACTTCTGATACAAGTACTTCTTCAGTTCTCTTGAATGCTATTTGAAATTCATCTCATGTTCATATAGAGATTTCACTAACCAATATAGTAGCTGGTCATATTGTGCAAAGCGAACGACAACTACATTGTTTTACACCTCTTTGTGTGGGTTTTGTATGATTTTCTTCTTTTTTATATTTTCATGAGAACTTTTCTAAACGTGTATTAATCCCTCCAAAACAACTCAAAATTTACATATTACTTCTGATAAATGTTATTTACAGTTAAATGATGATATTATAGCACACAAACATGAAGTGGTATGATATGTACCAATGTAATAAGTTAACTTTGTGTGTTTTTTGCGACATGCAGTCTTCCTCGGTTTTATATCGCTCAAGAAAATCAACTACTGTAATGGTAATACAACTACGGTAAGTTACAAAAATTTATGGAATCCAAACAAAGAATAACTAACCATGATATTGATTGTGGTTAATCTATAAACTTGTAGATGAAGCAATTTTTTTTTTTAGTAGGAAGATAATTATAGAAAATAGTTTTTGAAATATTTTCTTAACAAAACGTATCTCCTCCATTAAATGTCATCATGAGAATGATGATATATCGACATATTTGATATCACTATATGTCGTCTAACTATGGTTTATAAATACGGGTAAATTTAGTGAGAAATGAAAACATATTTCATATATGAAGAAAAAACATAAAATGAAGTATCCTCCATTCTCAAATGTCTTAAAATGAAGAAAAACATGAAATGAAGGACATTTGAATGGATTCTCCATTCTCAAATCTCTTCAAATGGTTTTAAGGTATGAAATAAATGACAGAAGTAGTGAGACATATTAAAAATGTTTGATATAGGAAGAGAGCTCATGAAAATGTCGATATAGACAATATATTATATAATACATTAACAAATATCTACAACTATAACAAAATCTTAATATATGTAATATAAAGTGTAGTATGAGTTTATAAAATATAGTCTTTGAAATATAAGGTGTAGTACAACTATATGAAAATCTTAATATATGAAATATAGCATCATATCATGTTTAGAGTAATATGAGTTTATAAAGTATAGTATTTGAAATATAAGGTGTAGTACAACTATATGAAAATCTTATATATGAAATATAGCATCATATCATGGTTAGAGTAATATGAGTTTATAAAGTTGATATATGATGCATATACCAAAAAATGTCAACCAAAAAGTTATAATGTTGGAAATCTTTAGATAGAAATCATGTAATATAAGATATATAACACAATATAAATGTATGAAATATAGTATGAAATATGGTTAGAGTAATTAATGGGAAGAGCGAAAATAAATCGAGTATATGTAATATGTGATATGATTTGTAACAATCGATATATATATATAGATGTAAGACCAAACAATAAATTACCAAAATGCCATTAATGAGGTTGCAGACAACTTCTATCAGTCGTTTTTTCAAGGGTGGTTTCACTTTTATTAGTATAAGATTAAACCATTGATCACGAATTTTGAGACTTTTAAAATTTTATTAAATTATTTTCATTTTTAAAAGTATAAAATATAACATATATAGAAAAATCAAAATTTATTATTTGGTTAATTTGATTGTCTAATTTGTTTTAATCACTACAAGAAAAATGGGCTTTGATAGCAGTGAAGGGTAACGTTTTTTGTCTTTCTGCTATGGTTGACATACGCGTTAGTTTTAGATAGCGTTTGTATATTCAGAAACGCTATGATAGAATTGTATATTTAAAAACGCTATGATAGCGTATTTCTAGTAGCACATTATCAAAAACGCTATCTTTGACTTTTTAAATCTCTAAACCCTAAACAAGTTTTTAAACCCTAAACTTTAAACATAACTTCAAAATCTAACTATTTTAATATCAATTCTTAAACTTAACATCAAATATTAAATATAAACTCAAACGCTATTTCTTTTTCAATAATTAATCTTAAATCATAATACCCTAAACCTTTAACCCTCAAACCCTATACTCAAACCTTATTCTAAACTCATAACTTTAAATCTAAAATCTAAATTGAATATAAAATCAAACTTAAATTTAATTCTTCAAATAAATTCAAATTTATTTTTGAATTTTAACTTAAAATCATAACCATGAACTCTAAACNTAAATCATAATACCCTAAACCTTTAACCCTCAAACCCTATACTCAAACCTTATTCTAAACTCATAACTTTAAATCTAAAATCTAAATTGAATATAAAATCAAACTTAAATTTAATTCTTCAAATAAATTCAAATTTATTTTTGAATTTTAACTTAAAATCATAACCATGAACTCTAAACCTTATATACTCAAATCTTATATATCATATAAAACTCAAACCTTCAATTTACACATTTAATTATTAAACCGAATCATAATTACAAATCTAATATTCTCATAGTTAAACACCAAACTTTGAGCATACATTTTTAAAAATTTAATATGTTCAAATTTTAAACCTTTAAACTAATTTTATTTACTATACTTTTATATTTTAAACTAATTTCATTTTACAATTAAAATAAATCTTAACTTATAAATAATTTTAAAATTTCCAATCTATTATTTGAAACATTGACACCAAACTATAATTACATTATTATTATTTTTGGTTCGAAATTATATATAAATAAATAACTTAATTATTATATTAAATGAAAACAATTTTTTAGTGGATTTATTTTGGCCTTTGATTGATTTCAATCCAAAGGCCACAAATTAATGTTTGGTTTATCTTTTATCTTTTTTCTTATTGGTTAGTATCTCAAACACAAGGATAGCAATCTTAACCATCGAATATATTTGATCCTACGGGTAGAAATCACTCATACTCAGATCTCTATCTCTTCCTCCCTTCCTTGTCTCGCGTTATTTCTCTCTCTCTTTTTTTTTTGTTACAGATCTCTCTCTGGTTATCCCTCCCTTCTTCCTCAGTCACCACCACCACCACAAGACCTCCATTCGTTTGCCCGCCGTCCCAGCTCACAACCACCACCACACATCCTCCGTTCGTTTGCCGTCCCAGCATCACCACCACCACCACACAACCTCTGTCGTCCGTCGTCCCAGCATACCACCACCACCACACAACCACGGTTAGAACTCTCTCTCTCTCTCTCTCTCTCTCTCTCTCTCTCTCTATCTCTCTCTCTCTCTCTCTCTCTGTTTTGAACTGGTATTATTGATTTTAGGGAAGCAAGGCAAGGCAGGCATGGCGGCTGGAGGAGGAAGATGACGGCTTCAGATTCAGGAGGAGGAAGCTGACGTCGAGTTGGTGAGGAGGCGACGAGATTAGGTCTAGATGGATGTGACGACGAGTACGCCTCCTCTCTACAACAAATCCCAGGATTAAGAAGAAGAATCATGGCTGGATACTGATGAAGGTCATGGCAAAAACAAAGACGGCGGTGTTTAGTTAGTAATTAGGTTAAAGCGGTTTAGTTTTTGGTTTATTTAGTTGGTTGGTTTATTATTTAATTAAATTTTTTTTTGTATTTTTGTAAACCAATTTAACTATAGATAAATTTAAATAATAAAGAAAAACTGATTCCATGTATAATTTTAAATTTTAATTACGTTTTTATTTTTAAATAATTAACTAAAAAAATAATTCTAAAATAAATAAATTTTAATGTAAATAATAACAAAAAAAATCATGCTATTAAAGACTCTTTAATTGCATACAAAAAACGTTATAATATATGACAATAAAATAGCAGTTCAAAAAACCGCTATCTAAAGTGCTTGACCTATTATGACGGGCGATGATACAGTGCTTCATAAACCGCTATCGTATTGATAGATAGCGTTTTTCGTCCGCTAATAAAAGCCATTTTTCTTGTAGTGAATAATGTTAATATAAAACAAAAATGATAGAGGATGTATAAATTATTATCAAATCTTTATTATTTAAAATAATTAATTATCATATATATTTTGATTAGATTAGGTAACTCCATATGTTTATTTAAGGAAATAATGAATAATATTTTTTATATCATTAATAATTAATTATTTGATTAGGTTAATAAAAAGTATATTATATCTTTAAATGGACCAATCTATTTTTTCTAAAGATTTTATAATTGATTCTCGTGATGACACGTATCATGGTTCAAAGGTTTTAATGTTACTTTTTTTAATATATAGGGGATACAACATTGCTTTTAGCAATAAAAAAATAGTTTGTAAGGTGTGTAAATGACTTGGAATATATATTAAAAAAAACAAAAACATCCAGAATATCAAATTTATAGAACGACAATAATATGCAACGAAGCATCGTACATATGTCATGTTGGTTTATTACAACGTTTTTCGAAATGAAACAAACTTTATTTAGAACAAGCTTTTCCTTCATATATGAGACTTATAATCGAAAAAGCTTATTTATACTGAGAAGCAAGTTCACCGTCCTTGACGATGTAGTTCTCGACAGGGAAGTCTACCCCCTTAAAGTATTTGTCCAGCATATCTTTTGTCCCTGCTGCATATCGTATCTGGAGGTTCAAAAAAAAAACATGTTTTAGTATATCTAATAAATTCATACTAGAAAATCAAATCAAATTATGTTTCGAAAACAATTTATGTATGTGACTAGTTAACGTTCAAGGAAAACAATATATCACCTGGGCATCGATAGTGGTGCCGGAGATGTGAGGAGTCATAGCTTGGTTAGGCATGTAACGCCATGGATGGTCTTTATGCGCCGGCTGTGGGTCCCACACGTCTCCACTGTACCCTCCAATATGTCCACTTTCCATTGCCTCCACGACTGCTTGCCTCTCCATGATGGCCGCTCTTGCGTTGTTTACTATCAAAACGCCTCTCTTCATTTTTGCTATCATCTCCTTATTGAACATGCCTCTGTTTAAACAAAGAACTCATTAGTCAAATCTTATATAAAGTCTTGTTCATGATTTTTTTTTTTTATTATTTGTGATATTATTGTGTACCTTGTCTTCTCTGTAAGAGGAGTGTTGATGACTACGACATCACATTTAGTAAGCATTTCATTTAGATTTTCCATGTGCTTAGCTCCAATCTCTTTCTCCAGCTCCGGTTCCATCTGAAGCCTGTCATGGTACAATAAGTTACATCCAAATGGTTTCAACCGTTGTAGTAGAAGCCTTCCGATTCTTCCAGCTCCCATAGTTCCTATTGTCTTCCCTTCTAGATCATAAGCTCTGTACGCAATACCTGCAACATTCCACTCACCGTTGATGACTTGTTGGTGCCCTGGTACGAAGTTGCGCATGAGGATTAGGATTCTCATGAGCTCATCTTCTGCTACTGAGACCACATTGCTTCCAGTGACTTCAGCCACTGTCAAACCAGCAGCTGCAGCTGCATGCAGATCGATGTGATCCGAGCCAATACCAGCCGTGAGGAGAAGCTTCAGGTTCTTGGCTTTCTTGATTCTTTCAGCAGTCATGTATGCCGGGTGGAAAGGAGTGGATATTAAAACGTGGAGATCCGGAATATGTTTCTCAAGTTCTGTCATTTATAAGAACGGCATTAAAAAGAATCATAAATTTATTTAACAATTTTACCAAAAAAAGAAGAATCATAAATTTGCACGTTTATTGTGTGCTATGTGCACTATAAAAAATGGTAAATTAGACGAATATTTACCAGAGTTTGGGCCTTCTTTGTCATCAGTGACGATGTACTGATGCCCTTGTGATTCTAGCCATTCACGGATTCCTAAGGAATTTTCGACGCAACCAAGAAAGTTATGTTATTTTATTTTATGATTCCAATTATGAATCAACACCAAGATCTAATTTAGATTTGCCTTAATTCAATCCTAACATGTTTCTAGAGAAAAGTAGAAACAACTAACCTTGATCCATGCTTGGATGTAATCCCACCAATTGATGTTTTCCCCTTTAACCTTCTCTTTGGTGATTTCCTTGATGGACAAGAAATCCCAAAAACCTTTAATCTCTCCTTTTTATAATCAGTATTATTGATATATGTTTTTCTTTTAGAAAGACAATTTTCTTCTATCGACGAAATGATGTACGGTCTCTATTTTATATTGATCAAAGAGACATGTGTTAAGCAACACAACTTTCTGAGACAGCACTTCAATACATCATTTCAGTAGTCATATAATATTAATCACGTGGTAATATATTCCTTTCATTATTACCACGTACAAATATGTATATGATAAAAGAGATTAAAGAAAGTTATAAGTATAAGGTAAAGTAGGAAGGTTATCAATACACCCAAATTCTAAATCATTAATCAAAACCGATCCATCACGGTATTGTCTTTTATATTAGAATCTATAAATATTAATATGAACTTGAACTTTATATTAAACCAATAGACATATAGGTCACATAGAATATAAAATATTCTTACATTCTCCCACTTGACCTTTGTGTCGACTTAAGGGTTTAATAACTTTAATGTGCACTCTTATATAAAGTTCACTTATCTTTACTAAAATTTTAATTGATCGAATCATAGCGGTTGTATGCCATTAAACGACATAGTCCCTTCCATGTATCACAAATCAATGCCAATTTTAATCTTTAAATTTGAGAAGAACCTTTATTTCTCAAACCAACCATATGTTATCTACAAACCATAAGCGTATACGTATACTTTAATGATAACATAATTAATAAATCAGAAACATAACTTTATGTGAATTCTTTGTGTCACATACATAATGAGCATCCCATAACTAAAATAGCAAAGTCTTATCTATAATACCCATACGCTCTACATGGCCATTGAACGCCTTGGGTGGTAAACCTTTAGTTAGCGGATCCGCTACCATCATGTCCGTCCTTATGTGCTCAAATGACACTCTCTGTTTCTGAACTTCTTCTTTAACAGACAAGTACTTTAACTCCATGTGCTTAGCACCCTTTGAGTACTTGTCGTTCTTTGAAAAGAAGACAGCTGCGGAATTATCGCAGTAAATTCTCAGCGGCTTGGCTATAGTGTCGACAATCCGAAGCCCTGAGATAAAGTTCCGCAGCCACAATGCATGAATTGTGGCCTCAAAGCATGCCACAAATTCAGCCTCCATAGTGGAAGTAGCAATGACAGACTGCTTTCCACTCTTCCATGATATTGCTCCCTCAGCTAACAGGAACAGGTAACCAAACGTCGATTTTCTGCTATCAACGCATCCAGCATAGTCCGAATCTGAATATCCGATGACTTCTAGCTGATCGGATCTCCTATATGTAAGTATGTTCTCTTTGGTGCCTTGCAAGTACCTGAGAACCTTCTTTGCAGCTTTCCAGTGGTCCATTCCAGGGTTACTTTGATATCGACCCAACATTCCTACAGCAAAGCTGATATCGGGTCGAGTACATGTCTGAACATAGTTCAAACTCCCAACCACCGATGCATAGGGAATTCTTTCCATTTCTTTACGCTCCAATTAATTCTTAGGACATTGCATTTTACTGAACTTATCCCCCTTCTGAATTGGAGCTATTCCTGCAGAGCATTTTTCCATTCTATATCTCTCTAAGATCTTATTGATATATCCTTTTTGAGACAAACTTAACAATCCTTGTGATCTATCGCGAAAGATTTCTATCCCGATCACATAAGATGCCTCACCCATATCTTTCATTTCA